TTACACATTAAGCTGTATATTACACATTACGCTCTATATTACACATTAAGCTTTATATTACACATTAAGCTGTATATTACACATTACGCTGTATATTACACATTAAGCTGCATATTACACATTAAGCTGTATATTACACATTATGCTGTATATTACACATTAAGGTGTATATTACACATTACGCTGTATATTACACATTAAGCTGTATATTACACATTAAGCTGTATATTACACATTATGCTGTATATTACACATTAAGGTGTATATTACACATTACGCTGTATATTACACATTAAGCTCTATATTACACATTACGCTGTATATTACACATTAAGCTGTATATTACACATTAAGCTCTATATTACACATTAAGCTTTATATTACACATTACGCTGTATATTACACATTAAGCTGCATATTACACATTAAGGTGCATATTACACATTAAGCTGTATATTACACATTATGGTGTATATTACACATTAAGCTGTATATTACACATTAAGCTGTATATTACGCATTATGGTGTATATTACACATTCCGCTGTATATTACACATTAAGGTGTATATTACACATTACGCTGTATATTACACATTAAGCTGTATATTACACATTACGCTGTATATTACACATTAAGCTTTATATTACACATTACGCTGTATATTACACATTAAGCTGTATATTACACATTAAGCTGCATATTACACATTACGCTGTATATTACACATTAAGCTGTATATTACACATTACGCTGTATATTACACATTAAGCTCTATATTACACATTACGCTGTATATTACACATTAAGCTCTATATTACACATTACGCTGTATATTACACATTAAGCTCTATATTACACATTAAGCTGCATATTACACATTAAGGTGTAGTTGTTCTGGTGGCTATAGTGTTCCCTTAAGCTGTTATAGTGGTAAATAAGGGATCCAGTTGCGGTTACAAAGTAGGTGGTAAAGTACAAAACATGAGATATTTCCAGAGAGTTTTGACATTTTTAGAGCTGATAACTCGACAAGGTTTCATCCGCTTTAGGGAGCCAGGGATCACAGCCATTTCTTAGCACGAATTGTACATTAAATGTAGACTTGATTTAGAGGATTTAATTCTCTCCCAGTAGCAGATTTTAATGTTCATTCTCAGTCACAGTCAAATTCTTCACTAATGTACTGGATCCCCCAATGACTATCTGCGCCAATCTCTGCATTGACGGCGTAGCCGAACATCAGATTAAAATGTGCTTTCTCTCTGCTATTGTCACACATATAGATGTCATTCTTGCGAGCCACTGAATTAAGTACAATTTAGGTGTCACATGGACAAAGTAAAAATATTAAACGAAAAAGCCAAAACAGAAATATTTTGCATTTCCATCCGCGCCCAGTCAGAAACCAGCCAAGCTCCAATTAATTAATGAGCTGCTTTTACTTGTGATGTAAAAATAAATGTATTTTTCTTCAGATCTGTGGTGATTCCTTCCTCATATGATGAGGATAGTTTGTTATTTAATCATCTATCAAGGCAAATGCAATTAATTCACAATGGAAGGGTCACTGATGCAGAAATGTAATATGAAATCACTCGAGTAGGTAACAATTGTAATATCTAAAAAGCCAGAGTTATTTAATTAAAGTTATAACGTGTATTAGTTACAGCACGATGGGACACACGCCCATATAGAGTCCAGGCTTTGCATAATGCACAATTCTTCCAATATACCATGGACTGGAGACTGTGATTCAAACTGTAGTCAATAACCTGTATAACACGGCTCCGTCTATTCTCTTATAATACAGCTTGTTTATCTATGACATTATATACCGCAGCTGGTAACTAATATCTTACATAACACGGCTCCGTCTATTCTCTTATAATACAGCTTGTTTATCTATGACATTATATACCACAGCTATTATATAATATCTTATATAACACGGCTCCGTCTATTCTCTTATAATACAGCTTGTTTATCTATGACATTATATAGCGCAGCTGGTATCTAATATCTTATATAACACGGTTCTGTCTATTCTCTTATAATACATCTTGTTTATCTATAACATTATATACCGCAGCTGGTATCTAATATCTTATATAACACGGCTCCGTCTATTCTCTTATAATACAGCTTGTTTATCTATAACATTATATACCGCAGCTGGTATCTAATATCTTATATAACACGGCTCCGTCTATTCTCTTATAATACAGCTTGTTTATCTATAACATTATATATCGCAGCTGGTATCTAATATCTTATATAACACGGCTCCGTCTATTCTCTTATAATACAGCTTGTTTATCTATGACATTATATAGCGCAGCTGGTATCTAATATCTTATATAACACGGTTCTGTCTATTCTCTTATAATACAGCTTGTTTATCTATAACATTATATATCGCAGCTGGTATCTAATATCTTATATAACACGGCTCCGTCTATTCTCTTATAATACAGCTTGTTTATCTATAACATTATATACCGCAGCTGGTATCTAATATCTTATATAACACGGCTCCGTCTATTCTCTTATAATACATCGCGGTTTATCTATAAATATTATATAAATGCGAAGCTGGTACCCACATCTTATATAACACGCTCTGTCTATTCTTCTTATAATACAGCTTGTTTATCTATGACATTATACTACAGCTATTATATAATATCTTATGTAACACGTTCGCTTCTATTCTTCTTATAATACAGTTGTTTATCTATGACATTATATAGCGCAGCTGGTATCTAATATCTTATATAACACGCTCGCTTATTTCTTACAATACAGCTTGTTTATCTATAAATATTATATATCGCAGCTGGTATCTAATATCTTATATAAATACGTTCTGTCTATTCTCTTATAATACATCGTGTTTTATCTATAAATATTATTTACCGCAGCTGGTAAATTCATTATCTTGCTATAACACGGCTCGTTTATTCTTCTTATAATACAGCTTGTTTATCGGCGATATTATATACCACAGCTATTATATAATATCTTATATAACACGGCTCCGCCTATTCTCTTCTTATAATACAGTTGTTTATCTATGACATTATATAGCGCAGCTGGTATCTATTATCTTATATAACACGTTCTGTCTATTCTCTTATAATACATCTTGTTACCTATAACATTATATACCGCAGCTGGTATCTAATATCTTATATATAACACGGCTCCGCTTATTCTTCTTTATAATACAGTTGTTTATCTATAATATTATATATCGTAGCTGGTATCTAATATCTTATATAACACGGCTCCGTCTATTCTCTTATAATACAGCTTGTTTATCTATAACATTATATACCGCAGCTGGTATCTAATATCTTATATAACACGGCTCCGTCTATTCTCTTATAATACAGCTTGTTTATCTATAACATTATATAACAGCTGGTATCTAATATCTTATATAACACGGCTCCGTCTATTCTCTTATAATACAGCTTGTTTATCTATGACATTATATAGCGCAGCTGGTATCTAATATCTTATATAACATGGCTCAGTTTATTCTCTTACAATACAGCTTGTTTATCTATAACATTATATATCGCAGCTGGTATCTAATATCTTATATAACACGGTTCTGTCTATTCTCTTATAATACATCGTGTTTATCTATAACATTATATACCGCAGCTGGTATCTAATATCTTATATAACACGTCTCTGTCTATTCTCTTATAATACAGCTTGTTTATCTATGACATTATATACCGCAGCTGGTATCTAATATCTTATATAACACGGCTCCGTCTATTCTCTTATAATACAGCTTGTTTATCTATGACATTATATAGCGCAGCTGGTATCTAATATATTATATAACACGGCTCAGTTTATTCTCTTACAATACAGCTTGTTTATCTATGACATTATATAGCACAGGTGGTATCTAATATCTTATATAACACGGCTCCGTCTATTATCTTATAATACAGCTTGTTTATCTATGACATTATATATCGCAGCTATTATCTAATTTCTTATATAACACGGCTCAGTTTATTCTCGTATAATACAGCTTGTTCATCTATGACATTATATAGCGCAGGTGGTATCTAATATCTTATATAACACGGTTCAGTTTATTATCTTATAATACAGCTTGTTTATCTATAACATTATATAGCGCAGCTATTATCTAATATCTTATATAACACGGCTCAGTTTATTCTCTTATAATACAGCTTGTTTATCTATGACATTATATACCGCAGCTATTATCTAATATCTTATATAACACGGTTCAGTTTATTATCTTATAATAAAGCTTGTTTATCTATGACATTATATAGCGCAGCTGGTATCTAATATCTTATATAACACGGTTCAGTTTATTCTCTTATAATACAGCTTGTTTATCTATGACATTATATATCGCAGCTATTATCTAATATCTAATATAACACGGCTCAGTTTATTCTCTTATAATACAGCTTGTTTATCAATGACATTATATAACGCAGCTGGTATCTTAAATCTTATATTACACAACTTCGTCTCTTCTCTTATAATACATCTTGTTTATCTATAACATTATATAGCGCAGCTGGTATCTAATATATTATATAACACGGTTCAGTTTATTATCTTATAATACAGCTTGTTTATCTATGACTTTATATATCGCAGCTATTATCTAATATCTTATATAACACAGCTCCGTCTACTCTCTTATAATACAGCTTGTTTATCTATGACATTATATATCGCAGCTATTATCCAATATCTTATATAACACGGTTCAGTTTATTCTCTTACAATACAGCTTGTTTATCTATGACATTATATATCGCAGCTATTATCTAATATCTTATATAACACGGCTCCGTCTATTCTCTTATAATACAGCTTGTTTATCAATGACATTATATAGCGCAGCTGGTATCTTAAATCTTATATAGAAACATAGAAACATAGAATGTGACGGCAGATAAGAACCATTCGGCCCATCTAGTCTGCCCAATTTTCTAAATACTTTCATTAGTCCCTGGCCTTATCTTATAGTTAGGATAGCCTTATGCCTATCCTACGCATGCTTAAACTCCTTTACTGTATTAAACTCTACCACTTCAGCTGGAAGGCTATTCCATGCATCCACTACCCTCTCAGTAAAGTAATACTTCCTGATATTATTTTTAAACCTTTGTCCCTCTAATTTAAGCTGGTATCTAATATCTTATATAACACGGTTCAGTTTATTATCTTATAATACAGCTTGTTTATCTATGACTTTATATATTGCAGCTATTATCTAATATCTTATATAACACGTCTGAGTCTATTCTCTTATAATACAGCTTGTTTATCTATGACATTATATATCGCTGCTATTATCTAATATCTTACATAACACGTCTCTGTCTATTCCCTTATAATAGAGCTTGTTTATTTATGACATTATATATCGCAGCTATTATCTAATATCTTATATAACACGGTTCAGTTTATTATCTTATAGTACAGCTTGTTTATCTATGACATTATATATCGCAGCTTTTATCTAATATTTTATATAACACGGTTCAGTTTATTATCTTATAATACAGCTTGTTTATCTATGACATTATATATCACAGCTATTATCTAATATCTTATATAACACGGTTTAGTTTATTCTCTTACAATACAGCTTGTTTATCTATGACATTATATATCGCAGCTATTATCTAATATCTTATATAACACGGCTCAGTTTATTCTCTTATAATACAGCTTGTTTATCAATGACATTATATAACGCAGCTGGTATCTTAAATCTTATATTACACAACTTCGTCTCTTCTCTTATAATACATCTTGTTTATCTATAACATTATATAGCGCAGCTGGTATCTAATATATTATATAACACGGTTCAGTTTATTATCTTATAATACAGCTTGTTTATCTATGACATTATATATCGCAGCTATTATCTAATATCTTATATAACACGGTTCAGTTTATTCTCTTATAATACAGCTTGTTTATCTATGACATTATATATCGCAGCTGGTATCTAATATCTTATATAACACGGTTCAGTTTATTATCTTATAATACAGCTTGTTTATCTATGACTTTATATATCGCAGCTATTATCTAATATCTTATATAACACAGCTCCGTCTACTCTCTTATAATACAGCTTGTTTATCTATGACATTATATATCGCAGCTATTATCCAATATCTTATATAACACGGTTCAGTTTATTCTCTTACAATACAGCTTGTTTATCTATGACATTATATATCGCAGCTATTATCTAATATCTTATATAACACGGCTCCGTCTATTCTCTTATAATACAGCTTGTTTATCAATGACATTATATAGCGCAGCTGGTATCTTAAATCTTATATAGAAACATAGAAACATAGAATGTGACGGCAGATAAGAACCATTCGGCCCATCTAGTCTGCCCAATTTTCTAAATACTTTCATTAGTCCCTAGTCTTATCTTATATTTAGGATAGCCTTATGCCTATCCCACGCATGCTTAAACTCCTTTACTGTGTTAACCTCTACCACTTCAGCTGGAAGGCTATTCCATGCATCCACTACCCTCTCAGTAAAGTAATACTTCCTGATATTATTTTTAAACCTTTGTCCCTCTAATTTAAGATGGTATCTAATATCTTATATAACACGGTTCAGTTTATTATCTTATAATACAGCTTGTTTATCTATGACTTTATATATTGCAGCTATTATCTAATATCTTATATAACACGTCTGAGTCTATTCTCTTATAATACAGCTTGTTTATCTATGACATTATATATCGCTGCTATTATCTAATATCTTACATAACACGTCTCTGTCTATTCCCTTATAATAGAGCTTGTTTATTTATGACATTATATATCGCAGCTATTATCTAATATCTTATATAACACGGTTCAGTTTATTATCTTATAGTACAGCTTGTTTATCTATGACATTATATATCGCAGCTATTATCTAATATTTTATATAACACGGTTCAGTTTATTATCTTATAATACAGCTTGTTTATCTATGACATTATATATCACAGCTATTATCTAATATCTTATATAACACGGTTTAGTTTATTCTCTTACAATACAGCTTGTTTATCTATGACATTATATATCGCAGCTATTATCTAATATTTTATATAACACGGTTCAGTTTATTATCTTATAATACATCTTGTTTATCTATGACATTATATATCGCAGCTATTATCTAATATCTTATATAACACGGCTCAGTTTATTCTCTTATAATACAGCTTGTTTATCAATGACATTATATAGCGCAGCTGGTATCTTAAATCTTATATTACACAACTTCGTCTCTTCTCTTATAATACATCTTGTTTATCTATAACATTATATAGCGCAGCTGGTATCTAATATATTATATAACATGGTTCAGTTTATTCTCTTATAATACAGTTTGTTTATCTATGACATTATATATCGCAGCTATTATCTAATATCTTATATAACACGGTTCAGTTTATTCTCTTATAATACAGCTTGTTTATCTATGACATTATATACCGCAGCTGGTTTCTAATATCTTATATAACACGGTTCAGTTTATTATCTTATAATACAGCTTGTTTATCTATGACATTATATATCGCAGCTGGTATCTAATATCTTATATAACACGGTTCAGTTTATTATCTTATAATACAGCTTGTTTATCTATGACATTATATACCGCAGCTGGTTTCTAATATCTTATATAACACTGCTCCATCTATTATCTTATAATACAGCTTGCTTATCTATGGCATTATATATCGCAGCTATTATCTAATATCTTATATAACACGGCTCCGTCTATTCTCTTATAATACAGCTTGTTTATCTATGACATTATATACCACAGCTATTATCTAATACCTTATATAACACGGTTCAGTTTATTATCTTATAATACAGCTTGTTTATCTATGACATTATATACCACAGCTATTATATAATATCTTATAACACGTCTCCGTCTATTCTCTTATAATACAGCTTGTTTATCTATGACATTATATATCGCAGCTATTATCTAATATCTTATATAACACGGTTCAGTTTATTCTCTTACAATACAGCTTGTTTATCTATGACATTATATAGCGCAGCTATTATCTAATATCTTATATAACACGGTTCAGTTTATTATCTTATAATACAGCTTGTTTATCTATGACATTATATATCGCAGCTGGTATCTAATATCTTATATAACACGGTTCAGTTTATTATCTTATAATACAGCTTGTTTATCTATGACATTATATACCGCAGCTGGTTTCTAATATCTTATATAACACTGCTCCGTCTATTATCTTATAATACAGCTTGCTTATCTATGGCATTATATATCGCAGCTATTATCTAATATCTTATATAACACGGCTCCGTCTATTCTCTTAAAATACAGCTTGTTTATCTATGACATTATATACCACAGCTATTATCTAATACCTTATATAACACAGTTCAGTTTATTATCTTATAATACAGCTTGTTTATCTATGACATTATATATCGCAGCTGGTATCTAATATCTTATATAACACGGTTCGGTTTATTCTCTTGTAATACAGCTTGTTTATCTATGGCATTATATATCGCAGCTGGTATCTAATATCTTATATAGCATGGTTCAGTTTATTCTCTTACAATACAGCTTGTTTATCTATGACATTATATACCGCAGCTATTATCTAATACCTTATATAACACAGTTCAGTTTATTATATTATAATACAGCTTGTTTATCTATGACATTATATACCACAGCTATTATATTATATCTTATATAACACGTCTCCGTCTATTCTCTTATAATACAGCTTGTTTATCTATGACATTATATATCGCAGCTATTATCTAATATCTTATATAATACGGTTCAGTTTATTCTCTTACAATACAGCTTGTTTATCTATGACATTATATATCGCAGCTGGTATCTAATATCTTATATAACACGGTTCAGTTTATTCTCTTATAATACAGCTTGTTTATCTATGACATTATATATCGCAGCTATTATCTAATATCTTATATAACACGGTTCGGTTTATTCTCTTGTAATACAGCTTGTTTATCTATGACATTATATATCGCAGCTATTATCTAATATTTTATATAACACGGTTCAGTTTATTATCTTATAATACAGCTTGTTTATCTATGACATTATATACCACAGCTATTATATAATATCTTATATAACACGTCTCCGTCTATTCTCTTATAATACAGCTTGTTTATCTATGACATAATATATCGCAGCTATTATCTAATATCTTATATAATACGGTTCAGTTTATTCTCTTTCAATACAGCTTGTTTATCTATGACATTATATATCGCAGCTGGTATCTAATATCTTATATAACACGGTTCAGTTTATTCTCTTATAATACAGCTTGTTTATCTATGACATTATATATCGCAGCTATTATCTAATATCTTATATAACACGGTTCGGTTTATTCTCTTGTAATACAGCTTGTTTATCTTTGACATTATATACCGCAGCTGGTTTCTAATATCTTATATAACACGGCTCCGTCTATTCTCTTATAATACAGCTTGTTTATCTATGACATTATATATCACAGCTATTATCTAATATCTTATATAACACGGTTCGGTTTATTCTCTTGTAATACAGCTTGTTTATCTATGGCATTATATATCGCAGCTGGTATCTAATATCTTATATAACACGGTTCAGTTTATTCTCTTACAATACAGCTTGTTTATCTATGACATTATATATCGCAGCTATTATCTAATATTTTATATAACACGGTTCAGTTTATTATCTTATAATACAGCTTGTTTATCTATGACATTATATATCGCAGCTGGTATCTAATATCTTATATAACACGGTTCAGTTTATTATCTTATAATACAGCTTGTTTATCTATGACATTATATACCGCAGCTATTATCTAATATCTTATATAACACGGCTCCGTCTATTCTCTTATAATACAGCTTGTTTATCTATGACATTATATATCGCAGCTATTATCTAATATCTTATATAACACGGTTCATGTTTATTCTGTTATAATACAGCTTGTTTATCTATAACATTATATATCGCAGCTATTATCTAATATCTTATATAACACAGTTCAGTTTATTCTCTTACAATACAGCTTGTTTATCTATGACAT